CAAAACTCTGTTGTTTGATTTACTGCTCAATATCGAAAAAATGGTCAAAAATTCAGTAGAGAGGGCATAACTCGACTCCCAAGGCCCATGGGGAAGAACCCTTTTAAGCTTTTGCTAGTCTCACTGAGCTCTACAAAATGGCATATGTCCGATTCAAAACGGAGCGTGGCACCTGGGACTTTCCCTCGTAAGTTCAAATAGTAAGAAGCAAACTAACTTTGTTTATAAAATTTAATTTCTTAAGTATTTCATTAGTTTGCCTTCATTAGATGTATTTCTTTCGTGAACTATCTTTCTTTACAACGATACTCGCAATTAAAGCTACAGTATTTATGTTCAAATTAATTTTACTGAATCACATAATTCGAACCAGCAGACATTGCTATATTCTGTAATATAAAAATTCTTTACATAATTAAAGACTTCTTTTATATCAAAATTTTACATAAGTTTGAAGTCTTTTTTTTTCTTCTCATTCCATTCTTAACTTATGTCGTTCTAATAATAGTTGAATGATATTTCTTTTGGTTGTTACTAAAGATGTCAATTTTTCTAATGTATGATATTCTTTATATGATGCTACTTTCAGAGAGAATATCGTTATTCAATCTTCTTATAAAAGATGTACGTACTTTCAAGTACTACGACATTTCAAGATAAGACCATAAGAGACATACTAATAGTCTACAGTAATAACGAGAAAGTAAAATATCATTCAAACAAGGTATTTTTCCTATATTACTTAGAACTTTCATGAATATTTATTTTTCGAAGCCTATTTTTATATTGATATGTTTGAATAAGTATTACCAAGGAAGAAGCATCATTCATTGCTTATAAATATAAAACTGACAATGGCGGGTCAGACTTAAAATGAAACACAAGTTCAATTCGTTGTGTTTTCAACTCTTGCTTTTCGGCAATCAACGCTACCGACAGGACAATATATATATATATATTTGTATGTGTGCTATTTATGATTCAACGTAGATAGAATCGTAAGATAGTTTCGAAAAAAGAAAACACTCAATGTCTCTTTCTAGTTAACAGCAAATGAAATAGAACAATTGGAAAAACGTCCAGACAACAAATTAAAATTTTTTATTAATAACATTAAAAATTTATTTTTCTAAGAGTGTTTTAAAAATTAATTAGATTAATTATATAAAATTATCAATATTTAATCAAAAATTTTAAATTGAATTAGTTATTTATTATTTCATAGAATAAGAAAAAACTCAAATCTATGTTGATTTTAAAACTACGTCATCGTATTTCATCCTATTCATATCTTAAAGAATTTCTTTTTCTCTTTTGACAATGCATTTGTTGTTGCCAAGGGTAGATGAAAAAAAAAAAAAAGAGAGAAAAAAAGAAAGTTCTCGGTCATTCTGATGTAAAAAGAAAAAGAAGACTATAAATATATCAACGCTGCGTACATCTTTCTATTAACGTTTTTCTTTGTCGTTTTCAAATAACGTTAAACAGTTTGATTTCTTATAATACAAAAAATAAAAATGCGTTCTTCAATCTCATCAAGGTCGTGTAATAATCCAGGTTGTAACAATTCATCACGTGCTCTATGTATTTGTTGTAATCAATATTTATGTATTGAACATTTAAAAGATCATACTGATAAACAAAATGATCTTCAACTTAATTCATTAATTACTAAAATCAATGTTCTATCAGATCGTTTTCATCATATATCTCTTGTTCAACCATATTTTATAACAAATCTTGATAAATGGCGTGCTGATGCTTATCGTACAATTGATCGTTTTTATGAAACTCAACGTCGACATTTTGAACAATTTACTCAAGAAAATCAAGATAAACAACGAAATGAACTTGAACGTTTACGATTAAAAATTAATGATCTTATACGAGAACAAAATACAACACAAGAAGATATTTATTTAATAAAAGATACAATTAAATTAATTGAAAAAGATTTAAATGAATTATCAAATATTCAATGTAATATTTGTCCATTAGTTATTGATGAAAATATTGCTACACTTCAATCTAATCAAGCTAAACAAGATTTTTTACCTCTTTCACGTCCATATAAAACAATGAATATTATTGATAATAGTTATTGTTGGATGGCTACTAATGAAAAATATTTATTAGTACATCATAAACCTGATTTATATTTACTTGATCGACAATTATCACTTATTACCAAAATACCATGGACACATGGTCGAATATATATTATGTGTTGGTCATTAACATTAAATCGTTTTATTGTTATAACTAATGATACAATATTTACTATTGATGAAAATTTAACAGCTATTGAACGATGTGATTTAAATTATCATAATAATATTTATCGTAATTGGCGTTCTGGTACATGTTCAAATACAAGTTTATATTTATCAACAGGTGAATTAGGTACATCAATATATGAATTTACATTAATACCATCAATACAATTGATTAAAGAATGGTCATCACCAATAACATGTCGAAAAGATGAATGTATTGATGATTTATGTTATAAAAATGGTAAACTTGCTATAATTATTTTTCGTCAACCAACAAAAGAAATACGTCTTGATTTACGTTCATCAACAACATTAGATATTATTTGGTCAATTGAAATTGGTAATATTGTACCACGACGTACAACTGGTTGTTGTTGGTTAAATAATGATGAATGGCTTATAACAGATGAATATGATTTTCGTCTATTTCATATATCAGCTAATGGACATCTTTTAAAAAGTGACAAATATGGTCCGGCACCATATAATGCTTTACTATTTGGTAAAGATATACTTGCCATACGCACTATTGAAGGTGTTAATTTACATAAACTCTGATAAAACTCTAAATATTTCTTTTGTAAAATAGAATTAGATCAATAAAATAGACTGCAAGATTCTAATCGAGAAGTTAAGAGTATGAAGTTAGTACAGTTTAGAAAGAACTTGCGGTTAACGAATCACATCATCAATCATCTTTAATTTCTACTCTCGAAAGAAGAATGTTCGATATGTGCTTTACTGAAAGAAAAAAAATTTTTTAATACAATACCGTTCAAGGAAAGAAAAGGAATTTTATTATGAGTTTACTCATTTTGTTGAAAATATTTTTTAAGCATCTAGACTTAGCAATCGAAGACGAAGAAAACTTTCGGTAATTTTTAGTTTATCTAGGTCAAATTTCTTGTACAACTCTTCAAGTTATTAGTAATATAGGGCTTGAAATTTACTTATACATAATCGAATGTTTTCTATATATTTGATTCACTAAGAAAATGCTGCTACATACTAGCGAATGTGGTGAAAAATTTTGACATTTGTACAAAAACCTCGATATACTGCATAAATCTATAAATCTGATGGAATAAGAAATAAGTATTTGAGTTAATGATATCTGAATCTAAGGTATGCTTCAGTCTATATAAGTCTCATGAATCCGCCACCCATGTGTTTCTTATGAATGAAAACTATGTGATTAATAAGTTGCAGAAGAATCGGCTTTTTTTTTAAATCTCTAATCAGTTTATATAAGTCATCAGAACTAATTAACAATTGCCATAGATACTAAATTATATTAAATCTATTACTGAAGTATAACCGAATGTATCTATCACGCAACAGTTTGCGTATTCTGTTAATATGATAGCTATCAAGTAAAAGTTGAGAATACGAGGTTGAAGCGCTGTTAGAACAACAGTGACATGTGTCATAATTGAGTCGAAGGTAATTATAGGGTCTATTTGGGCTCAGCGAGTTACCCAAAGATAATTGTACTGTTCGTATTTTCAAAACTTCTCCCAATATATATGATGAAATCTAAATTATAGTTTTCGATCTATTTTGGAAAAAGATGAAAAGTAAAGGTAGTGATCGATCGGCGAAAACTTAACGTGACACAACATGGCAGTTGTCCATGTACAGTTCGAAGAACAGCAAATCTTTGAAAGGTGATAATGGCGCCTATGCTTCAAAACAAGACTATCAAGAAGCGAACTGTCTGCTGAAACAAAACACATACCGCTACTATTGCATGAAAAATATGGACTATTTCTCAGAGTAGAAAATCAAAGAGTCAACTGTGACTGATCTGCACAAAAAAGAGCGAATTTATTTTGCAAACTGGATATTCTTAGTCCTATGAGTTCTTGTAACTACCTGAAGCTATGAATCTGGACCACATTATCATATTAAAGCAGTATCGATAGATGCAATAAAGCACTTCATCAAAAAAACAAAACAACAAGGAGAAAATTTTATAATCTGCACTTGATTTTACTGTATGATTATATTTATTTCAAAAAAAAACGGAAGAACCTACATTCGCCAAATAAATTATACCGTTTTGTGTCGAATTTTAAGTGTTATTTTCTGATAAAATATGTTTCCATTGCATAAAGAAAAGAAAATGAGAAATATTAAACATACAACTAGTTAAACTTATTTTGATCGACTCTTCAGTTTCTGTCGAGATTCATCTATACGTTTTCGCTTTTCCATTTCATTTTTTCAAAAAAAAAACCTATTTTTACATTTTAAGTATGTATCGACCTATCAATATAAATGAAGAAGGCTTTAGTTTATATCTAATTCTTCATTGTTTGTTTTTGTCTTTTGTCCGGCATCATGTCCTATAAGAATTGCTTCTATGAATTAAAATATATAATGACAGTAATGAAAAATGCACATCAATAATTCTACAATAAAGAGATTTACAATCATGCAATATAAAAGATCTTTTCTGACGTGTATCATCATTATATTGACTTCATATGGATGAAATACAGCTTTCTGAATTGGGTCGATAAGTCATATTTTGAGTTTAGAAATGATTTTTACAAAAGGCTTTCTGTGGAAAACTGAAAACTTATTTAAATAAATACTAATCAATGAAAAATCGTTTCATTAAACGAGAGATTTTTCCTCTATATTTTTTTTGCATTCAAAAATAAAAAAAAAAACAAATCTGACTACTAAGTAGGAAGTTATCGGGAAAAGTTTTTACTTTTTCGTAAGCTTTCAGATTGTGTATTTGGAAAATTAATGATTCTGATAACTTGAAAAGCTCAACAGAAGTTTCATTGAGAATCTATCAATACTGAAAATACAAGGCCAATGTTAAATGGTTTTTTTTTTGCTTTTTAGTCTAGTTTGAATAGATAATGAATTTAAGTTGTTTTCTTCACCAGAATCGCTGATTTCTTGAGTAGACATTCTAAAAATTTAGGAATAAGTGAACATGCATCGTTACGGTATTTCTCAGCATAATACCATGGTTTTCTTCCAATACATCACATAAACTATTTTTGGGATTTTCATTTGAAACTTTGCATAGAAACAAGGCTGAATGAGAATAGTTAATCGTGAAAGTAATACATCATTTGATCGATTTCTATCCCGTAATAAGAATATTGAACCTGCCAGTGTATATAGACGATCGAGACAACTCATGTTCACTGGGGTTATATCTTAGGATAGAAATAGTGGAAGTATCTAAAAATTTCACAGTAAACTATTGTTGTTAAGAATCGACAAATTTCGTAAAAATTCAATATGTTGGCAGCGATAACTTCTGCGTCCGAAATTTTTCAATACAAAAACTACAGTTCGAAGAAAAAAATTTCAAGTTAATGAAATATTTGTTTCACCGACTAGAATCTATTCTAACAACGAGAATATTCCTTGTTCGGATTTGAAAACTTGTTCAAAATCATTTTCGAGCTTAAGATATCAATTTTGACTAGATCAAAAAGTTTCATTCCATTTCAGACGAGGTCAATGTTACCTCGAATACGGTTTCAAAAGAAATATCTAAGGATAAAGATAAAAATATTTGATAATAAATCTATTTTTAGTTATGAAATCTAATAAAAAACATTTCTTGATGAAATTGAAATTTAAAACTGATGTATTTGAACAAATTCTATTTGTTTTTTTTTGAACAATTATCTTCATTAAATTTCATAAAATTTTTCAAGAAATACACTCGGGGACAATTGAATTTATACCCTTTAATCTTTTTGTTTTTTATTACTATACGGTTTTATCTATTAACTTAATATATATAGGAAGAAAGCCCAGAACCCACTGCATCTTTTGGTATATTTACGTTGAACATCAAATGCAGTTTAAAGTATAAAAAGTGTATTAGAAGAAAAAGAACATTTTTTTTAATACCATGGTGTCCATAATGTTGTAACACTTTTTATTTCGCATATATCTCGGCTTAGGAAAATGATAAAACCTTGAATCTTTTTTTCAAAAGATGCGCCGTGAAAAGCTCTACAAAAGCCATATGATTGATGTCCTTTTTACCTGTTCTAATGGTTTTTCTTTTGCTCAAAATGAAATACTTACAGGTGTAGTTTTACTTCCCATAATATAGAAAGTATTTCAAGAACTTTTTCGATTCGCTATATAGGATTCGGTCTATACAAGTTTTGGAGAGCTTTCGACGGCACATATTTTAAAAACAAATTCAATATTCCATCATTTTCTCAAGACGACATATATGCAGAACAAAAAAGTCTTCCAACATTTTCAGTTTGATGAGAAGTGACACTGCCATGTAAGTTGTTCATTTTGAGTATAAGAAAAACCATCAGAACAGATAAAATGGAATTCGATCATATAGCTTCTGTAGAGCTTTTCACGGCGCATCTTTAAAAAAAAAAATTCAGGATTGTATTATTTTCCTAAGCCGAAATATATGCGAAATAAAAAGTGTTACAACATTATGGACACCATGGTATTAAAAAAAATGTCCTTGTTCTACTAATACACTTTTTATACTTTTAACTGCATTTGATGTTTAACGTAAATATACCAAAAAGATGCAGCGAGTTCTGGGCTTTCTTCCTATATATAGTAAGTTAATAGCTAAAACCGTATAGTAATAAAAAACAAAAAGATCAAAGGGTATAAATTCAATTGTCCCCGAGTGCATTATTTAACGATAAATATTTTTTTCTTAATGAAATGAAATAAAGTTTGATAAGTATGATTCCTATATAAAGTAATTGTTTTTTTTAATCCATATTATTTTCTTGAGCATCTAAGGATATATGACGTTGTTCCGAATAATAATCAGTGTTGTATATATTTCTAATAAGTTTTCTAAGATAAAAATAGCAGAAATTCATTAGACATTCATAAAGTTTCAAAACAATGATCGATATATGATTTAAGACAAACCTTTGCTCTTCATTTTTCTTTCTTCATTTTGATGAAAAGTGCTTTTGTAATGTCTACAACAACTTTATCAACTGTTCTTATTACATCATTAAAATTAATACAAACAGATATATTTCGTATTGGTGGTCCAATTTTAATCTTTTTTGGTACAAGTAGTTGTTTATTCAGTTATATCATATTTAGACAAAAGAATTTACGTAAAAATCCTTGTACAATATATTTTTTGTCATTTAATTTATCTAATTTATTACTTATATATTCATCATTATTGCCTGTAATGCTTGAAATAGGCTATAATATTAAGCCAAATTCATACAGTCTTATTCAATGTCGTTTTCGTCTCTATGCACTGACACTATTCGATTGTTTAAGTTCATTATATTTGATTCTAGCTTCAATCGATCGTATGTGTGTAACTTCACCAAATGCTTTTGTACGAAGTCGAAGTAATAATTATTTTGCTTACAAATCTATTATAATTGGTACATTATTTTGTATGATATTTAGTAGTCATGCATTAATTTTTCAAGAAATTGTACCAAGTACAGCAAATGATATTGTTTGTAATTTTAAACCAGGTATTTATATGATATTCCTAGCTTACTATTCATTAATAAAAGGAATTTTGATGCCTTTTCTTATGATACTGTTTGGATTATTGGCTATGAAAAATATTCGACGTTTACGTCGTATTCATGTTTCTACTGAGGGAAGAAGTCATTCATATGGTCCATCAACGAAAGATAGAAAACTTATTCTTTTAGTACTCATGAATATTATTGTATATGTTCTATTTGATTCAATGATGACAATATATCTTATGTACGAGCAAATTACACAATATTATATAAAGAATGATTTACAAAAACAAATGGATACTCTCTGGGGATCAATTGCTACATTTGGTCTTTATAGTCGATTTTGTATTTGTGGTTATATTAATTTATTCGTTTCAAGAATTGTTTGTCAACAAATAAAAAAAATATTTTTATGGGGAAGAATTTTTTTTAAAATTTAAACAAATCATTCATCAACAACATATGAGATGAACTAAAGTTAAACTAATATTTTGATGTTGTATATTATCTGTATGTCTTTCTTAAGTAATTTTAATATTTTTGCTTTTATATTATCGCTCATATACAATAAATATAAGATATCCTAGTGAAAAATTCTTACAAGAGTCATTTTTTGTTTCATATCGAATGAAAGAAAATATTTCGAACAAGTATTAGAAGTTTTACTTAACTATTTCTATTGGTTTTTATATCACAGCATTCAATCATGAACCCTCGATTATCTTCCTATACCGGCAGTAGGTTGTTGATTAGAGAACAACAGTCAAAGAATAATCAAAATTTTAAGTATCAAACTACAATCCGTACAGCGCACATTTCATTTATTTAACTCACTATCGATTTATTAATAATGTACATAGAACTATTATCGAAAAAAACAAAAAAGAAATGATACTCATTTTTTACTCATTCGAACGATTGACAACTTATTTTGATGTTACTAATGAATATCATGATTAATATCTTTGTCACTTTGCTAACACTATTTCATAAATATGTTTGCTTTACTTTCCTCACTCTAATAACGCATAAGATATTTTTAAATTGGTGTTCGTCATTTTATTAAATTCAATGTGAAACTATCAGTACTGTTTTTGATCTAAAACATGATTTTCTTTTATAGATAGATGAGAAAATAAGACACATACCCATTTCAAAAGTAATTAAGTATGGTTTTGAAGAAAGCAAAAATCCAAGATGTATATTATTAAAGATTTTATTTCATCAAATATTCACCGTAATTATATCGCTTATTTATACACAGTCGCATTTATTCAAACTATTTGTCGATGACAAAAATTACGATTGTCGTAAAGAATCGTGCACTATCGTACGATGATTATTGAATAATTTTTAAAATCTTCCTATTTATTAACATATAACTTCGTTCTTGGTTGTAAATATTGTTAAAATTCAATGCCGTACATAATTTTGTAATTTATTTATTCATGAATTACTCAGTCGTTTGTAAATAGCATAAAAGATATTATCAAACAGTGTCTATTGAATAAATTCAATAATCTAAATAAATGAATAAAATGTATCAATATTTCATCTGTTAGATAATAAATATTAATTATGAAAAATAAAATAGAATTTTACCGGACACATTTGTTCGAAATTTTCTCAATCAAGAAACTTTCTAATTTTTGATTACATAAAAAAATGATATCTTGATTATCTGTTGGGAATATTTCATCTGTTTTTTGCCCTTCGAAGCTCATCGCATCGACATTAATCATATTGTCAAAGAAGATGACATTAGCAGCACAATCAGTTCTTTAATATAGACTAATGTCGACGCAAACCCCTGGAATAATATTTATATAAGATAATTGATATTTTGACATCGTATAAAAAATTTTTTAGTACAACATAAACTTATAGAACATCGATGTGTTTAAACTGATCGTCCTACATTACGAACTGATAGAGTACTATGTTTGTAAATGTTAGTCATTACGCCATAATTGAATATATACTCTATGCAATATCAGACAACTTTTGTTTTCACATTTACATATTTTTCAATAAGAATAAAATTAGAATGTGCACTTATTCATTTCTTCTTAAAATTGTTATTCAAATCTTGATTGTTGAAAACGATTCATTTTTATTCAATGATGCTACTTTTCAATGTAGTCAACCAAGAAAAAGTATTTTAACAGTTAATTGAGCAAGTATTCTATTATTACTTTCCATTTTGAAATTCGATTGATTTTTACTTTACTTAATCGATATTTATCATAATTCAAATTTATATTTGAATTATAACCAAATGAAGCAAATTGATTATAAACTAGAAAAGGCTAACATTAACATAATTATATGGGTAGTTTTTTTTTTAATTGAAATTCTTATTGGATTTCTATACAAATTTGATTTTATTTGAATGTTTATAATAAATGACTGGAGACCTTTTCCAAATGATTTATTGTGTCAATGATTACAGCACATCATCTGTTCATCTTTTATCTGTTCGATTACGAGTCAGCTAGACATTCTGACCTCTTGAATAATAGTATCTGTCTGCTTACTCTATTCTCTCTCTCTCTCTTGTATATAAACTTGTGTTCTATATGCAGTAGACATAACCGGAATAAGGAATTAGTGCATTGAACATCTATGCCGAAAATAGCGATAACGCTTCTTCTCCAATTTGTTATTATTAATCACAATAAAATACACACTACATTGGTAACAAAATATAGGATGGATTGTTCATCGGTATTAGAATATCTGTTCAATAGTCAAAAGAAAAATTTGATCGTCTTATGATACACGTCTTTTTTTCGAAAATATTAGAGAAATAAAATAACAATCAATTTTAATATTTTTATTTAATTAACAAGTATTTTATTTTCTTCAGATTTTTATTTAATCATTATTTCAATCTAAATGATATTTAATAAGATTATAAAAATATTTCTTCTTTAGTTTTAAATTATTTTTTCATCTTTCATATATTGATAATAAGTTATATGCCATATGATTCAAATCGGATAAAAATTGCTGATAGCTTGATACTTGCATGGACGGTTAGCGCCAGTCATTATTGTTTATTCTGTATGAAAAATAATTGATTATTCATAAATAAAAAATATTTCTTTGATTCATTTTTCTATTTGTTTAATTAGAAAAAGAATGGATATTTATATTGGACTTAAGTTTATATCATCATACAAATAACAAAATATCAATAGAAACATGATTGCTATCTAAGACGCTAGGTAATTATTTTTATTTTTTAAATAATTTAAAGGAAAAAAACAAATAATATTTGACGGAAATTTAAGAAAGGATTTTTTTTTAAGACGTTAAATATGTCATAATGATATAACACTAAAAGATTTCAAGGTTTTTTTAACTATAATTTTAAATCTATCTAAAAGGATAAGAATTGTTCGAATGAATTGTATAATTAATTGCTAATTTAGTTCATTTGAGTTAAGCGTTCTTTTTGTTGTTGAATTTGTTCACGAATAGCTTGTGGTAAATCATCACCTAATTGACCATCAAGCCATTGTAATGTTTCTTCAATATCACCAGCCCAATATTCTTTTGGTAATGCCATTAATTTATCCCATTCAACATTAAGACCTTGAAGATTAAGTGAACCTTTTTTAGGTAAAAGACCAACAGGTGATTTGTCAGCAACATCTTCATTATTAACACGTCGAATAACCCAATCAAGTACACGTATATTATCACCTATAAATAAATAAAATTAAAAACAAGTTAAATAAAATATTTCTATTTATTACCAAAACCAGGCCAAAGGAATTTATTATTTTCATCCAAACGAAACCAATTGACATGAAAGATTTTAGGTAACTAAAATGAAAATCAAATATAAATTTATTAAAATAAAACAAAAATGCTTTTTTTTAAAAGTCTTACTTTATTGTGTGGATTCTTTTCAAAGTTAAGCCAATGTTGAATATATTTTCCAAAATTATAACCAACAAATGGTCTAAAATTAGATTTTCAAAAATTATATAAAATAATTGTTTTGGTTACCGCATAGCAAATGGATCATGCATAACTTGTTTTCCAGTATGTTCAGCAGCTGCAGTTGATTCTGATTTAAGTTGTGCAGCAAGAAAAACACCATGTGCCCAATTGAATGCTTCAATAACTAAAGGAACACCTTCTGGTCTTCGTCCACCAAAAATAATAGCTGAAATAGGTACACCAGCTGGATCTTCCCATTTATCATGTATAATTGGACATTGACGAGCTGGACAACAGAATCGTGCATTTGGATGACTTGATTTTTTAGTTTTATCTTCTCCTAATTTATATTTTTCACCAGTCCATGATGTTATTTCAGTACCAGCTGGAGTTTCCTCTTCAAGACCTTCCCAATAAAATCCTCCATCAGCTGTTTCACCAACATTAGTAAATATTGAATTTTTTAAACAAGTTAAAACTGCATTGGGATTTGTTTTCATATTTGTACCGCTAAAAAGAATTTGTTTTTTTTTTATCTTCTTAAAATTAAAAACAAGTCAAACACTAAAACTTACGGTGCAACACCAAAAAATCCAGCTTCAGGATTAATTGCACGTAATTCACCTGTTTCTTTATCAAATCTCATCCAAGCAATATCATCACCAACACATCGAATTTTATAACCCGGAATTGTTGGATTTAACATAGCTAAATTTGTTTTTCCGCATGCAGATGGAAAAGCAGCAGCAATAAATTTTTCTTGTCCTTGTGGATTTGTTACTGACATAATTAACATATGTTCAGCTAACCCTATTTAGATTTAAAATAAAAAAAAGAAGATTTCATAACAAAGAAAGTTTCTTTTTTCTTTAAATAAAAATATACTAACATCCTTCATCATTTGCAATACGACCGGCAATACGTAGAGCAAAACATTTTTTACCAAGTAAACTATTTCCACCATAACCAGATCCAAAACTCATAATTTTTCGAGAATCTGGAAAATGAGTAATCTAAATGTATAAATAAAAAAGTTTTTATTTAGTCCTTAAATAATTTTTAAGAATCATTCTTTTGAATAGATGCTCAAAGCTACCAACTAATTTATGTTTCTAAAATTATTTCTTTTTATGATTTTAATGTTTAAAACATGATCTAAAAGGAGTATTGAGATATAAGGGTAGAAATTCTGATCCCTTCGCCCATAGACTGTTACAAACATTGCGCTGATACATGATCACCGACTATGGCGAACACCCACAGCTGTATCGCAGAGTAAGACAAATTTTATTGATATTTGATTACAGATCATATGTTAATAACATCTCTTATTAATACGTGAACTTCTGTTTCATTGCATTTCTGAAGAATTAAGTAAAACAATTTCCATGTGATTAGTAAAAACAACTACATCATATTTGACATTTTAATCCCAGAGGGATTGCACTAGTAATTTCTTTTTTTTTCTAATTTTATATTATTTCTTTATATAACAGATGATGTCAGTCTGTGAAAAATGAAAGAAACGTATAAAAATAGATGGCAAGAACACATATATAACTAACAACCAATTGGAAAAAAGATTCTACTAGAAAACAAGAAAAACTTTTTTTCTCTATTACATTAGGAATGAGATAGAAAAGAAAAAAAAAGAACCGTCTGATATTTTTAAAATAATTGACTTACCATTGTCTTCTCAGGATTGCATGGCCAATTATTAACAATTGGATTAGCAGCCGGAAGAGGAACACCTAAATATATGAAAATAATTTTTTATTGAAAACATCCGAAAAGATTGTTTTTTTTTATTGCTATTATTGATTTACCGACGGAATGAAGACCTCTAACAAATTCTTCACCATGTCGAAGATGTTTCCAGATTGCCGATGATACACGAGTCATAACTCGCATTGAAAGTACTACATAAGCTGAATCGGTTATTTCTACACCAATTTTACTTAATGGTGAACCGATTGGACCCATACTAAAAATAAAAGAACATGATTAGAAAAAAAAAACAAGAAAAATTATTTTTCTTTTTGAATAATAACCTAAATGGAATAACATAAAGCGTTCGTCCACTCATACATCCTGGAAATCGTGCATCGATTTCTTTTTTCATGTCATCAGCTGACTTCCATAAACCAAGAACACCACTAACACCTTCACGTGAATGTGCTACTGATTCATGTTTATCCTTTGTAATAAGAAATGTTTTGGATTCAACACGAGCAACATCCTTTAAAATAAAGTTTTATTAAAATTTAGATGTGAAATAAAAGAAAAAAAAATTATTTTACGCGTGGATCTGTTCGGCAAATATAACAATTTTCATATTTTTTTAATGGTGATATTTGACCAATTTCGACTAACGTTTTTGTAAGCGTTTCACCTTCTTCATCCGATCCATCACAAATGTATACATCATGAGGTGCACATAATTGAATCTAAATTATCAATAAGAAATTCTTATTTTGTTAACTATATAAAATAATAATATTCTTTTACCATTTGTGCAAGCCATGATTGAACATGTGTAGGAAGTGATTGAAAATCACCTTTTTTAACCGGTACATTACCGACTTTTTCAATTATAAGATGGTGAACTTCCGAAAATGGTACGTTTACGTCTTCCATTTGTATGTAGTCTTAAAAAAATAACAGTAAGAAAAAAAAGAAGAAATTGATTTTTCTCGTTATAACGAAAAAAAAAAGTGTTATTTATAGGTTCGCCTGTAGTTTATATTTGCATGTAGTATATGATTCTCTTCTCTTATTTCTTCTCTTTACTACTGTTCTTGCTTTTTCTTCTCGTTCCATATAATAGGTTTGTATGGCATTATAAACGCCAACTATAGTAAAAAAATGATCGAAGCAAGTTTATACTACCGACAAATTTAAAGTCGAAGTCTAAAGTGCATTTTTCGATACAATAAATTCGTCGTCTATTTCTTTAGCTCTTTGTAAGTCTTGAGAGAACTACTGAAAGAATAAAGAAACTTGGTATCTAGAAAAAAACTAACTAGTGCTTTTTGAGGGTGTACAGACGAATTCGAAGAGAAGAGAAAATGCTCGCTGATGTCGATGTTACATCCGGGATACAGGCAAAGAAAATGGGCATTATATGCAACTGCGCCGAAGAAGAAAAAAGAAGGAACACCAATGAAATAATAGAGAAAAAAGAAAAAAAAGAGGAAAAAGAACGATTCAACCTCGGTAACTTCTCAAGTAATACCCACCCTCGCATCGGCCTATTCTTTTCGAGACCTTTGCGCCGAAAGAAAAAAAAAATAAGAAAAAAAGTATTGGATCGCATCATCGATCAATATAAAGCAAGTATGGAAAAGAGGACACTAGGGTTTTCTTAAATCAACTAGCGATATATTATATGAAACGTCGATGAAGAACTAATACAATACGAACACAACAGATTACTATAAATGGCAACATTATCTCATCAGTAACAATAGCAACTGATGAAATTTCAGACTAATTAAGACAAAAATCAATACGAAGAAAATATTTTTGAGTGTGAGTTTTATTAGTCAGAAAAATCTTGCATTCGTTTTAATTACTAAATGTTTAATTGATTCTTTTATATATTTATTAGTTAATATATGAGATTTTTTGTATTAGAAAAAAAGAAAACGATGAAACTTTTTATCAAATTTCGATATTTTATAATTAATACTAGGAGATATTCGATAGGAACAAGAGATTTCAACATTGTCTTTTTTTCTAAAATAAAAACTTCTAAAAAGAAAATTATACATCTCTATCTACATATGTATGTGTCTATATAGTTAGAACATACAACAACAAAAAAAGAGGTGCCGTAGCAATTCTATTATCTCCTTATTCAATGATGAAACAATTAAATAGAAGAGTTTAATACTAACATCAGAACTGACTAAAAACACTCATTATGGAAAGACTATTACTTTCTTTATTTTAAACCTATCAATATTTAGTTACAATTGTTTTTCAGCTGCACAACATGATCGTTTTATTTCTTTCAACAATTTATTTATTCAATTTTTTTAAACTAGAGGCAAATAAACACGTGTCGATATCATGTAATGTTACTAGCTGTTAACAGATGAACGACATTATGTTAAAGCTAGCACTGTTGCTGTTATGTAGTACTGCTTTTTTTCTTTTTAATATAGGTATTTAGTACATCCTGTTCGTATACTTATCCTATGATTGTTTATTATGAGGTAATACACAGTATATCGTTTTTCTCTCGTCCTGTGCGTCAGACGTACCACATATGTTGTCCATAATAGAGAGAGACGATTATTAATTATAGAGCTAGATAAAAGCGCCCACTGCTAAAAATAAAGTGCTCATATTTTGGGACGCTCACTGCTAGTATAATTCGCTTGGGTAACCTAAAGACTGATTTAGTGTAAGAAAGACAATTGAATATTTAAAGCAAAAAACTTTTTCTATAATTATTTTCTTGTGTATGTATTCATAAGAGATTGAAGTTGATTTTAAAAATTTCAGATTATGTGATAGAATATTGATTCTTAATTCAAAATTAGGTTGAAATGAATTGATTGATAAAATAGACAATACGTTGTGATACGAATCACAATATAAGATATTATGAACACTATTAAGAATAATAGACTTTACGTGAGAATGTGTATGATTTATAAGAAAATAAAGTGAAAAATGCTACAATAGACATCAAATCGATCAGAATGAGGAACTTTGGTTGTTGTTTGTATGATAAGAAAAAAGAAAGAAATAATAGAAATAAAATCTCATTGGTCTTTATTTTCCATTAACAATACAATAAAACTGAAAGACATTATTTTGAGTTATTCGACCTATTCATATAATGATTATTTCTATATATAAACACTAAAGTTCTTTTTCGCAGATATTGCACAATAGAAGCAATCAATGCTACTCAATTTAATGTAACCGATTTCAATAAAACTTTGCTTGTATGTCACTTCAAGTGAGAAAAGTTTTGCTTCTATAACTGTTCTTCTATCGAGATGTTGAAATCACAATAGAAGTAGTCTGATGTAAGAAATTCTTTTCAGCGTAAATTAAGATATATTGTTGAGAGAAGATTTTTCAAAAATATGGAACTTACAGTTTTTTATGAACATTTAACGAAAGATCCTGAAAATCAGCTTTTCGATCAAGAGGAATCTTGATCGAATCATATGTCTCAATAAAAGTATTGAGTGATTAATTTTTTATGACGCATCAAATATGTGTGAAAAATCCGTATTTCAGCCAAGCTTGATATTTCATGACTCATGATTTAAATTAGAGAGTATAGAACTTATGAAATACTTCTAGAGTATTTAATAAACCAAAAATTGTTTTTGACTGTAGTATGTCAAGTATCTTTACTGATTCAAGTCCACAAGATTTCAGGATTAAAGTCTTTGTTGTTGACAAATGACGAAATATATAATGAATGGATGCTGCATTCATTATCGTCGTCTTCCACCCGAGGGTACCTCTCTTCCAATTTCAATATCACAACAGAGGAACGATTTTAGAAAGCACAAATTTTTGCAGTTTTGTATCTTTCTTGAAGCTACATACGCGCAAAAATTTAATTGACATCGATTTCGCACATGGTACATATTTCGATCGTCTCTCTCGTGCAATGGTTCCTACATTATCAGAAACATATTGACAAAACAGGCACAAAGTTTACAAGATAAGTTTTTACTATTATTACTAGTTCAATCAAACTGAACAGAAAAATCAACGACATAGATGATTCAAATTAATATTATAGTGTAGAAAGCGAGTAGACATTCACATCTACATCTTTTAAGCATAAAAATAAAACCATCAAGTTTATTTTTATTCATACAAAAGACATTCAAAAATTCGAATCATTTTTTTTGGAATCAAAATATATTTTATGGAAAATAATTTGTACATGATTATTTCATTTAAAAAATGTAGAGAAAAATAAAGTCTTATGATTTATTATAAGCTGCATAATGTTTACAATGAGGATGATGTCGATGATTTCCTTCGCGTCGTATTTGATCATAATCAGCTAAACAAGACCAACAAAATTCATATTGACATTTAATACAAGTTATATGATCACATCCATCATTTTTTTCAATTTGATAAGGACAATTTGGACATGTTTTTGTATTTTGATTTAACCATCTTAAACTTGCTCTAAGATTATCATTTATTTTTAAATCATACTCTTCACATGTCAATCCTGTATGCCATTGTATTTTATGTTTAAAACATGTTTTTTTATGACATCGAATACAAGTAACAATATTATTAAATTCTCCACCATCATTTAATTGTCCCATTTGACATTTTGGATTTGAACACCAAATAAATTCATCCATTTGTTCTAATCCATGAAGATTTATAAATCGATCATATCTTTCAAAAAGTTTTTCATCCTTATTCGAAATAAGAATATGTTTAATTGTATCGTAAGCATATTTACTATTACATTGAAGTTCTGGACATCGAACATCATCTGTACACATTTCTTGAAAAGATTGTTGAATATGACGATAGATACATGTATCACAAATAGTTCGTTGAACTTGAAGACAGTTATGATTAAATATTGGACAAAATTGTTTAGATGATTTTTCATCAAAACATACTTGACATGTTGAATTATGCGTTTTAGATGGACGTGGTGGTCTAAAATCAAATCACTTCATTATTTCAACTAACTTCAAATGAGTCATGTTATCGATGTATAGAGAAAAAAAATTAGAAATATATTATAGAATGAATTAACCGAACGAAGGAAGTGTTGATAAGATTTTAATTACAAGAAACTGCTTTCGTTAGATCTTTTGATCAGAGACATGCACGATACCTACAAAACAAAACGCCCTCACCTAACGGTATATGAAGAAATATTTTTAGTCATATTTATGACTGTAGAATATTTAAAAATAGATTTTCATTTTCGAACATTCGCGTGTGAACAAGAATATGAAATTGTAGGTTTTTCGTTTCAATCTTAATGTATTTTGGTAATTATATTTGCACAAACTCAGGATTAAGATGATTTTTTAATATAATGCTTGCCAGAGTGATATTCACTAAGTTTTGAGTTAGGATAATTTATTCTTAGAATAATTTTTACATTTAGCAAATGAATATAAAAATCAAATAGTAAAACAAACAGTCGTTCATAAAGAACGAGTTTGTGAATGATTAAATTAACAGCTAGTATGATAAAGGCGCGACAACATGAACTGCTCGCGCGAACAGTGCACATCTCTCCATTGGGCACCTATTTCAGTATGTGAGTGAGTTCTTCGTTTATGACAAATTTTACATGAAGAATATTCTATCTTTGTGTTGAAATCAGTTAAACATATTACTTTTAAAAGTAAAATTAAATCTTACTTTTGATGACTAGGAGGAGCGGCTGCAGTTGGTAGCGGTGAAGGCGATCGAAATCGACGAAACGCTTTAGCGATGGTTGTACCAACATGTCTAGCTATAAAATATATTAGAAAGATCATTTGATTGAAAAGACTTTACCAGCCCCGGATATTTTAGTCGATTGTGTACTAACCAATGAAGCTGTCGAGCTATGTCTTTCTTGTTTTTGATTTCTAATAAAAATAAACATTAATAAACACAATAGAATAATATTGTTTTTTTTTTTTGACTTACAACGATGTTCTACTAGATGACAACGGTATACCTCCACAATTCTGACATATTGTTTGTTTTATTGGAAGACGAACATGTTCTTCAAAGAAACATGTCCAACAAAAATAATCACCTTCAACTAATGCATAATTGTTTGATGGCAAGTGAATCGAGCATGAAACACAATTCATGTTTCTCGAATATCACATACGTTTACATATTAGCTTCGATGCATTATGTCCTTTTATTTTTTTTTCATTCTGTTTCTTCCGTTCTCTATCGTTGAGCAAATAGAAACAGTTTTATAATTATTCACTGCTGAAATCATCATCACAATTTGTTGCAATCAAAATGAAAAAAAAAACAGATTTTTCGATTTTTCCCCTAAAATTGTTTCTTTTGATAATAAAGAACTATAGTTAAAAGCTTTGTAATGTGGACATCATAAGAATTATCCAAAATCACTTACTTTATAAAGGCACTCATTATTGGAAAGTTTGTAGTTCCTTTTTTTTCAACCTTTGAGTATTCGATTGCAATTGCTTTTCGACTATATAAGGTAATTTTTTTCTTTCTCTCAACAATTTATTTATTCAATTTTTTTAACCTGAAGTAAAACAACCTATGTTGACATGTTTTCATGTTACTTATTTTTGAAATAATGGACAGACAGGTATAAGAAAATCAATACAAGCAACTTTGATTTTTGGCTTAACTCTATCTGAAATTGTTGGTTTAATTTTTAATAAAGTATAAAACTGATTGATACTCGTTTGCACATTCGTAACTGTCGTTTTTCTTTTATTTTGACGACGACGAATATCCTTCAATAGTATATTAGTACCAGAAAGTGTTTTATAAATAATTTTGATACGATAATTTTCAATGACGAATTTTGTTTATTAATTAACTATTCAATTTCCTTTTTGATTAATATAATGCTCTTTTCAATCAAGCGAAAACTTTTAATTTATTCAACACTGAGTAATGGGAAAGTGAAGAGTAAGAAGTTTCTACAGACCAAATTTTTCTGAGACTAGCCAATAGATGCTTAAAAGTCTGCTTCTTCACTTATTCATGTACACAGAGAGTACCAGATTATTGATGGAAAAAACCTTTAGTTCGCGTTGTTCAATAAAATGTTTACAGAGAGGTGTGTGGGTAGATTTATTTTTCTCTTTTTAGAACAAAAATAAAATAGCGCTTATAGTAATATTCTTTGTTTTAATGAAATATGCTATTCTTATTAATACTAGCATCACTTTTAATTTATGTTCGTTTAGTTATTTTAAATAAAATTGATTTAATTTTAACAAAGACAGTTATATCTATTCGTTGTCCTGATGGTAAAATTTCGTTTGTTGGCTTTCTTCGTACAGCAAATAAAATAGATGATCTTCGTTCGTATTGTCCTCATCCATATCTTGTTTCATCTGATGATGCAATTATTATATTTACTACAAATGCATTACTTCATAAGTGTATCGATGAAAACACTCTTGATACAAAATTTAAACTTCATTTAACATTAACACATCAGAGTGAACGTATTTCACCAACTTCTATATCAATTCATAATGAAAAATCAGGATCGATTAAAACATTAGAACAGGAATCATTTTTTAATAAAAATTATACAGTTACAGTTGCTAATAATATTAAATTAATTAGTTTAGATAAAAGAAGATTTCGTTATACATTCTACATATGGTTTGTTAAACGAGATTGGATTATTTGTCGATTAGATATAGTTTTTGATTCTCATCCATGTCATCATAAAGATGATTTTCCTAATGCCATATTTATTCCTTTTTGTTATTATAACGTATGGATTTATTTCTTTTTGAAAGGTTCATATGCATTTCTTCTTATGTATTGAAAGGTTAACGCAAACATGCCAATGAGTATAGAAGAATTAAATGAAGAATATAATCGGCATACGAATAAAAACAAAACTACGACAACAACTAGTTTACCACAATCAACTAATACAAATCTAATAATGAATAAGAAAAAATCGAAAGCATCAATGAAAAATAAAAAGTTAAAAAAACAAAATACTAATTCTAATACTCAAACAAATTTAAAGACAATAATAATTATTATTATTTTATGTCTATTGACTTTGTTTGGTCTTATATCAATAATTTTTTATTTTATTAAACGGAAAAAACAAGATGAAGAAAACGATCTAGTTAAAGAGTCTAAAAAATCAAGTATCGATAGCATTATATCAACAACTAATGATGAAATATCAGCAAATTCTCTTTCATTAAAAGAAAAAACAAAATCCGTTAATCTACAATCATACTTTTTTGATGATGATATTCAATAAAAAAAAATTAATACATTAATTTTATTTCACTTTAAAAAATTTGTATAACTGATAAATAAACTCAGGAAACCATTCAACTTACAATACTAAACTAATGAAACTTTTCAAGAAGATTATATACAACCTGTCCACGTTTAAGAACATTCCCTTCCCCTTCGGTTTTGATCAAAAACTTATATTGAAGGGGGAATGTGTGGGTGTTTCATTATTCTTTCCATCGACACTCCCAACTACATTCACA